TGTGTATGGCTTCAGAAATAATGCTGCCTACACCGCCACCCTGCGCCATGTGCCTCTGTTGTCTGCTCACGCTGCTGCCAGGTCCATACTGATTCATGGCCCCCTGTACCGGCTCCTCATGAACGTGGTTCAGCGGGTTTGCATCACTTAACGGCAAATCGTTGACAAACGCTGGGGACGTTCAGTGTTGTGCGCATTAAGCCATACACCAAAGGGCAGCACAGACCTGTTATTACTCGCTCAAGCATGGCTGAACAAAACCAGTCTCTACCACAAATTGGACCCAGACCTGCCCAAGGTCTCGTAAGTAGATTGCACGGAGGAGTAGAGTCCGTTATTGGAATTAAACTGTGGAGGGACTTTTAAACCTAGGCCTGTGTATGGCCTTCAATTGAAGCTGCTTTCTGCTCCGCCACTCTGCCATTGGACTCTTGATAGTCGTCTCCCCACGCTGCTGCTGGGGGGACTTTTTAACATAGGCCTCTGTATGGCCTTCAATTTTAGCTGCTTACGCTCCGCCACTCTGCCATGGGCCCCTGTACCGCCTCCTCATGCTGCTGCCAGGCCCGTAATCTGCCATGGGCCCCCCGTACCAACTCCTCATGCTGCTGCCAGGCCCGTAATCTGTCATGGGCCCCTGTACTGCCCAAATGAGTGAAGTGTGCGGTGATTCTAAGATCGACGGCACTCATCTGCATGTCATACTGACTGACAGTATTATTTCTCTTCCCCAGCAGACTCCAAGGGCATTTAAATTAAAGGTACAGTGTTCTGCACTAATATAAAGGCTCTCTGAAGCCTAGAAACACCCTTTTTTATAAGTTAAATTCGCAGCGAATATATTCGGCTCGAAGCGAATTTTTTTCGGCGAATTCGGCGAATCTGCCGAACCAAATTTTTGAATAATTCGCTCATCTCTAGTGTCAAGCTGGCGGCCTTCCAGCTGTTGCCAAAATACAAACCCCCCAAGGCAATGCAAGGCTGACAGTTAAAGGATAAGTTCACCTTTTGAACAAAAATAATTTTGCAGGTAAGAAAATGTGCTTTTATTACTTTTGTCCAAAGGAGCTTGTAAAGCATTGCACCAGCTATCAGTAGATCGCTACTGCCATGCAGTTCTCCTGCAGACCTGTCAGAATATCTGCTTGCCGTACGGGATGTACGAGCAAGCAGATATACTGACGGGAAGCTTCAATGAACTACCATGATGCTCCACAGCACCCTAGTAGATTATTGAAAACTACAAGCCCACAGCCGCTAAGACTGTTGGGACTTGTAGGCCCTCATTCACAGGATAGCATGAATGAGAGACGCGGTTGTATGGGCGGAGCCCCACATGGCCGCGCTGTGTTTAAATCTAACAGATAGTACAGGTAGACTTCTCCCTGTGCTATCTGCCAGGGGGGGGGGGGTCGGTTGGCAGGCCGTGGCTGTGGCTATGGGAACATGTTACAGGATGCACAGTGTGTAGAAGTCACCAACTGTCTGCAGAGTTAATAGCCAAAGACCTCCAAACTTCGTGTGGCCTTCAGATTGGCACAACAGTGTGTAGAGAGCTTCATGGAATGGGTTTCCATGACCGAGCAGCTGCATCCAAGCCTTATATCACTAAGTGCAATGCAAAGCATTGGATGCAGTGGTGTAAAGCACGCCGCCACTGGACTCTATAGTCTAGCAATCTGATGAATCTGTCTGGGTTTGGTGGTTGCCAGGGGAGTGGTACTTGCCTGACTGCATTGTGCCAAGTGTAAAGTTTGGAGGGGGGGGGGGATTATGATATGGGGTTGTTTTTTAGGGGTTGGGCTTAGCCTCTTCGTTCCAGTGAAGGGAACTCTTAAGGCATCAGCATACCAAGATATTTTGGATAATTTCATGCTCCCAACTTTGTGGGAACAGTTTTGGGGATGGCCCCTTCCTGTTCCAACATGACTGCGCACCAGTGCAAAATGCAAGGTCCATAAAGACATGAATGAGCGAATTTGGGGTGGAGGAGCCTGACTTGCCTGCACAGAGTCCTGACCTCAACCCGATAGACCACCTTTGGGATGAATTAGAGTGGAGACTGAACTCACAAATGCGCTTCTGGAAGAATGGTCAAACATTCCCATAGACACACTCCTAAACCTTGTGGACGGCCTTCCAAGAAGAGTTGAAGCTCTTATAGCTACAAAGGGTGGGCCAATTCAATAATGAACCCTACGGACTAAGACTGGGATCCCATTACAGTTCATGTGACTGTAAAGGCAGGCATCCCACTCCATATATATATATTGTGTGTGTGTGTGTGTATATATATATATATTTTACATTTAGCATATATAGTAGATCAGCGGCCCGGGGGCCGGATGCAGCCCCTTGCTTGCCCTTATCCAGACCTTGGGGCACTTTTTCTCTCTCACTGATACAAGACACTATTCCTCTCACTGACACCAACAAGGGGGCATAATTCCTGCTATTGACATCAACAACAGGCACAAATCCTCCCATTGACACTTATGTTGGGGCACTATTCCTCCCATTTACACCAACAATTGGGCACTATTCTTCTCACTGATACAAACCCTGAGGCACTATTCCTCCCACTGACGCTAACAATGGGATACTATTCCTCCCACTGACACCAATGATGGGGCACTTTTTCTCCAACTTACACCAAGAACAGGGCACTTTTCCTTCCCCTAATACCAAAGATGCATTGTTTACTTCCAAAGACGCAGCCCAATTTCTACTCCCAATGGCCAAAGACTGCCCCCCCCTAAAGTCTGAAAGCCAGTAAAACTGGCCCTTTGTTTAGAAAGTTTGGAGACCCCTGATATAGATAATATTGTGATGCTGCTCATCCTCTCCTTTTCTGTTACTGTTTCTCAAACGTCACCATGGCTGTTTATAATTAGCAGAGCAAAGACAGCTGACCAAGGGATTTTTTTTTCTCTCAACAAAAGTGGAGTTATACTTATATATATAGTGTTTGTTTTCTCTTGTTCTTTTGTCACATTCAAGTGTTTTTCCTTCCTATTTCCTACCAATATACTGCTATGCTGAAGCTGTACAGTAAAAGAAAATGACTTGGTATACTAAATGGTAAAATGAAATGGTATATTGTAAACTCTGTAAGAACACAATTATATTGCATACTTTATACATCAAAAGATTTGAAAGAAAAACAAATTACAGAACCTACTTGTCACAGCCATGTTTACACCATCATTCATTTGCAGAAGGGGTTTGAATTTAAATTGTGCACACTAAATATGACAGAGCAATACTAATTTCTGAGTCTAATATTTTGTCCCATGTGGTATTTTTGCCGCAGTTCAAATTTATCATGATTATCTTGGAAGTGGAGGAAACCCAGGGTCTGATTTTTAGTGGAACAGATTAATCTGAATTGCATGGTAATGTAATACACATACCAACGCATACTGCAACAAGGGTCAGATTTGTCTTCATAGTGTGTTTGTCAGGTTTGCTGGCAAGTGCCCTATTAAAACGTAAAGAACTACAGAAAAAGCACAAAACTGAGCAAAAAATATCTAAGTGTAAATTATGTACATGTACATTTTTTAAATGCACTGCTTAAATGAAAAAAAAAAATGCACTGTTTAGAAGAAACAATAACACTCCAAAAATATTTTGGTGTGTGGCAGGAAAGAAAGCATTGAATCTGTGTCATGATGCAGAGTACAAAAGAGGATTTAAAGCGGAGCTCCAGTCCCCCTAATTAATTTTTGGTAAAAGCAGATCCACAATGACCTTTCAAATAGCATTAACAATTGTAATAATTCATTAGTAAAAATCATTGTAATTACTTAATAATTATTAAAAATCTACCATGATCTCGGAAGCAGGGAGGCGCAATGATCACTGTGGGCATCTGAAGCCCGCAGGTATTTATTTCCAAGAATCGGTGCTGCTGGCTATCCCAGCATGCACCACTCATTCTCGCGCGTGCGCAGTACAGACACTGCTTGGCACCATGTACACACTCTGCAATTCCAGCATACAGCACAGCATAGGACGCAGTAGGATACAGCATCCACGTCTTCCTGTAATCTGGACTCCGGTAAAATGGCACGAAACTCCTCCCATTCGCATCATTTCCGGTTTCCAAGTCCCGCGATTACAGGAAACCAAAGGACTGCTGGAATACAGGAAACGACATCCCCAGGAGTCCTTGCAAATCGCCTTACGACGTCATCACGTAGGCGGCCGGGACTGGAACTGCAGGCTTGCAGTGGATTTGAAGGTATGTATATTAAAAAAAATAAATAAAAAATATCCAACTTGTTCTTTATTTCACATGGACAACATAATCAAGTAAAGTATGAAAAATGTATGGAACTCCACTTTAAGGAGAAAATGCATTTTATTTATTTACATATAAGTTACATATACATTATGTATGTTATATCAATATACAACTGTTTTGGAAAAAATAATCAATAATTTTAATTGATTGTGGTGTATTAGTATTTATCATCCTACTATTACACCACTAATCTGATTAGAAACGTGTGTATAAAAAAATTATAACAGTTTACCATGCCCCAAAGAAGCTTTCTTTTTGTCGCCTCAACAATAAGCGAAAGTGCAGGCCTTCATTTTTTCCCTTACCAATAACTAGCCCTCTGAATTTTGTGGGAACATTGTTAACTAATGAGTGTACATTCTATAGTGTAAGCCAAGCAAGTCGCAAGCCAAGCAGTCAGATAGTACTACTGTGAATAGGTTTAAATGTTTTATTTTACTTAGAGATGAGAAAAAAAAAAGAAAATTTGATTCTCCTTTTTTTTGAGAACGTGCTTTGACCCAAGGAATGTCTGCCATTTTTAAAAAATAAATTACTTGTTTTCACTTTGTTTTAATTCTTCGCTGCATTTCAGTGCTTCTAATTTCCAGTAGCTCCTTTGCAACCGTCTCCTGTCTATATCCATGCACTCCAGCAATGGCTGTATAGCATTTCTAAGGTCCGGTTTCACAATGCGATAACAGGAGACAATGCCTGTGTAATGTGTATGTGTAATGTAAGCCTGTATGACAAGGTGGTGACACAAATGTATATTTGGGAAAGAGGGACAGAGTTAACACCTATACCTGAGCTGGACCAGGGGCGGACTGACAACTCATGGGGCCCCCGGGCAATAGGGGATCATGGGTCCCCTGTGTCCTCGCCCACACTCAAACCACACCCAAAAAAGCCTATGAAAGGTAGCAAGGGCATCTCATGGGGCCCCCTACTGACCCCGGGCCCTCAGGTAGTGCCCAAGTTTCTGGATGGTCAGTCCGCCCCTGGCTAGGACTGTCATGGAAGGAAAGTGGATCTTTTTAGTTTAGTTGGATTGATCAAACCTAAAATTTCTTATTTGAGGACTGAGCTTAGGGATCTGAAGTGAATTTTGGTGGATGTTTTTAGCTTTTATTGATTAATATGATTTGTAAAATTCTTTGTTATTGTAAATTTTATTAGAGTTTTAACAGTTACAGAAATAAGAGGCAAACAATGAAAATTCTAAAAATAAATACACAAATAATTTCTCAGTCATTTGCTATTATAATTTGGAAATTTCCTAACTGTCTCTTTTTATTCCATGTTGACTTTTATTCTCTTTCTTGAAAAAGTTAAAGATGGATTGAGGTCTTATTTTTTGCAGCATAATGCTATTCATTATGTCAGTCATTTCTAACTTTTACAAAAGTCTTGATAAATATCAGGTACCATACTAAGTATACTATTACCTATTTCCTTTACCGATTACCTTTTCTTATCAGTAAAGTCTCTTTTGCTGTCCCTTGTAATCCCGTGTTACTACCCGCTGGGCTGAATTAGAAAAATCTAAAAGATTCCACCATCCATACTAAACGACGTGATTGGAGGTATCTCTCCTGACGTTTTTGTATTCAGCCACAGTACCCACTGCTTCCTGGACACCTGAACAGTAATGCATTAGATAGGATGCAGTCATTGATTCGATGACCTGTCCACCTATCTATTTTGATTTTTCAATTGAAGTTTGTTGAGACAGGTGGTGCCAAGAGGGCCAACCACAACTTGACTTTTGTCTGATTCAGCAAGAACTGGACAAAATGTGAGCTGTGTATGGCCAGCTTCAGGTCCTTACTCATGTAATATCCATGTCCATTAAAGTGGAACTCCACCCAAAAGGGGAAGTTCAGCTTGTCTGCCTCCTCCCCTACTCCACTGCCACATTTGGCACTTTTTTTTGGAGAAGCGGGTACCCGGCTTTGACAGGTACCTGCTCCCACTTCTGGCTCAGTTCGCTGCAGCAAACTGAGCCGGAGGTTCAGCCTCTCCTCCCCCGTCCCCCACTTCATGCAGGTCCCAGAAGACTGAGGGACCAATCACAAGGCGCAGTAGGAAACCAAAACTTTTGGTTTCCATCACTGGCCTAGGTGACAACAACACTGGATCCCTGAGCAGGTAAGTGTCCTTATATTAAAAGTCAGCAGCTACAGTACTTGTAGCTGCTCACTTTTTATTTATTTATTTTATGTACTTATATAGCGCCGTCAATTTACGCAGCACTTTACATTTATATTGTACATTCACATCAGTCCCTAACCCTCAAGGTACAAGCTAAGGTCCCTAACTCACATTCATACATACACATACTAGGGCCAATTTAGACAGGATCCAATTCACCTACCAGCATGTCTTTGGAGTGTGGGAGGAAACTGGAGTACCCAGAGGAAACCCACGCAGGCACAGGGAGAACATGCAAACTCCAGGCAGGAGGTGCCATGGCTGGTATTCAAACCAACAACCCTAGTACTGCGAGGCGGAAGTGCTAACCATTTAGCCACTGTGCAGCCCATTTGATTTGGGGAGCCTGGAGCTCCTCTTTAAGAGTGCCTCACTGGCCAATAGAGGTACCCTCATTAGACTGAGGGACAGAGAGAGGGAGAAACGTAGCCCTGAAGTCAGTGAAGGAATTACAAATAATTGTATTCTGGTTAAAGGTAACAGCAAAAAAAAATATATTAGTTAAAAAAATGATTGTGTTTAACTAAAAGTTGGTAAACCATATGTTGAACCCCGGGTAATTACATTTTTAACCTCAAACTTTTTTTCAAACGATCATGACAACAAAACAATCACAAATCAAACAATTGAAACAAATCACAAAGTAAAGAAAGTAAGAGTTAAATTATACAAAGGGAAACTAAGCAACAACAGCAGGTGCCAGAGTGCTGCAAGCCTCCTGGAGGAGTGTCCCTAGAGCACTGATGACCATCATTCCAGGAACATACCACATTAACCATGCCAAGAGCAGTGCTTCCAGGCATTCCATCATAGCATAGATGTCACCGGATAAAGTATCATTTGTAACGTTTGTCAAATGCTGCCAGGGTTTTTCTAGCAGGGTTATCAGGACACTAACATTGAAATAGAAATAAACCAGATTGTGACTTCTGGATACAGACGTAAGAATAAAATCACATGAGCTTTGCTGGGGTGAAACACATGTACACTTTACCTTAAGCCAGCCATAGATGGTTTGAATCTCAGCCGGTTCAGCAGTGACCGGCCAAGATTCCTTCCATGTATGGGCAGGCTGACTGTACTCAAGTCGATGCATTGATCGACTTGGGTACAACCAGCATGTTGGATTTCTAGCATGTGATTATTGCCAGCAGTAATAATCACTGTGTTCTCCCGGCAGACACAGTTTCTCATGCCCCCCTCATTGGGAGAACACAATAGCTGTTCCAGCATAATTAATTAATTAATGAAAGCTGCACAAAACTCTCGATATGGCAACCCTGGAGTATCGATCCATCCATGGTACAGTTGGCCAAACTTTGAACTTAAGGTAGTCCCCCACGTTACCACTCTTTGCGAGGGCATGCCTGATCAATCTCTGTGGTGCACCTACTTCTCCTGCCTACTATTTTCAGCTTTCTCTCTTTTTCTGTAATTTATCTTTTTTCCACTCTGCTCTTGTTTCACAATATGTTTTTTCTTTGTATACCTCACCCTCTCACATTACTTTATTGTCACTTTGTTCATATCATAGCTTTATAAGTGAGCTAATGATTACAGGCATAGTAGACTTTCAGTGCTAACTATGAAGGCAAACAGGACATCAAGTGATTACTGCTTCTCTAGGTGAATGTGTTCCTTCCCCTGGATGCCTCAGTGGCAATCCTACTTCAAGCTATCCAGGAATTTGATTTGTACACATACGTAATATCTCCTTGATTCAAGACGTATTGCCCCTATGTGCTCATGCCAGGGGCGGACTGACCATTTGGAAACTCGGGCACTGCCCAAGGGCCCGGGGTCAGAAGGGGGCCCCATGAGATGCCTCTGGTACCTTTTTCATAGGCTTTTTTGAGTTTGGGCAAGGACACAGGGGCCCCATGATCCCCTATTGCCCGGAGGCCCCATGAGTTGTCAGTCTGCCCCTGGGTCATACTACTGTACTTTGCTATGCTTTTTTGTGACTATCCAACTATCTTATTACTTCCGCACCTGTGATGTATGTCATTTTCTGTTACAATAACATTTATTTGGTACCAGAAAGCCGCACAAACAGACTCTTCAGAGCATTGTCTCTGACTCAATCAGGGTAACATGTGGCTGCATAGCATAGTCTTTATAAGGGCTTTATAAGAGCTTGAAGCTCCAAAATGCTTGAGAAGCAAAAATCTATTATTTTCAATGGAGATGGTTTAGATCTCCACCGGAAGTCTCCTGAAGCTCAAACAAGTTCTGGAGCTTTTTTTTTGTAGCTCAAACTGGGTAGATTTGTGTGTTTATGGAGCATTTTTATTCCCACTGAAATGAATGGAAACACACATTTTGCACACGTTTTCACACACGTTCGCATTTTTGTGCGATTTTGTGCTCAAATGAAAAAAAAAAGTAATAATATATGAATAAATAAATGTAAAATAAATACACAAATAAAAATTATCATAAATAAATAATACATAAATAACATAAATTATGTAATAATAAATAAATAATTGACCCCTAACCCTAACACTCTAACCCTAAAAAATATATGAAACAAATTATTATTATTAATAATAATAATAATAATAATAATAAACAACACAACACACAATAACAAAAAACCCAAATAAAAAATAAATGTATACTAATAATAACATTATTATTACTATTATAATTATTATAATAATACTTTACTTATTTTGTGTTAGGGTGTTTATTTAATGTTGTTATTATTATTACCAATAATAATAATATTTTAGGGTTAGGGGGTTAAGGTTAGCGGGTTCATTATTTATTTAATATTCCATTGTATTAATTTATTGATTTTATTTATTATTTATTTTTTATATTTTTTTATTTGTGTATTTATTAACATGTATTTATTCATTTATTATTAGTAATAGTATTATTATTATTAACACCATAACAAAAAAATAAAGAATAAATACATAATTAACAGTAAATAAAATAACCTCAACCATAATGCTAACCCTGACCCAAAAAAAAAATGATGGAAAAGCTAAAAAAGCTGAAAAACCTAGCAACAAATGATGCAACAGATTATATTTTTCTCTATTGGCTAACAAAAAAAAACGGCAAAGCTCAAAAACACCTAAAAATGTGCAAAATCACATAAAAATTGCACACAAAAAATGTGCACAAAAAATGAACAACATTTGCTCAAACTCACTACTCTCATGTAGATTCTGCATTCTAATTTTTGAGACCTGTCTCTATTTATTTGCCGCCTTTTGAATAAAACGGCATGCTTTTACAGGCTCCTTAACTCAAATTGCCATTTCACAGAAGTAGTAGTAGATGACTCATCCAGGCTAATTGTGCACAAGTTGATTGATAGATCAACTTGTGTACAACCATCCTGCCTATACATGGATTGAAATTTGGGCGGTCCCTTTTGAACCGGTTTCAATCCATGTATGGTCAGCCTTACAAGTGGGGTGTTCCTTTTGTTAACCCATAGAGCTATGAAAATTCTTAGTCATGTACTAAATGTTAGTTTTTTAAATAGACATTACACCTACAGTATATCCATAGATAGATATTAAACACCAATTTAAATACACTGTACACTTAAAAAAGAGAAAAAATAAAAAGGACCCAGTAAAAGACCTTTTAATTAAAAATTACTTGACCTCAGTGTACTAGCTAACCCTATTCTGAGCTGCAAGAAGCTCTAGCCATAAAGACATGCACAAAACACCCTTAG